AAATTATTTCTGACATTTAAATGAAGGTTTTGTTCCCAACCAGAGTTTTCTGGAAATTAACGTGACTGTTAAAAATGCTTGTTAGCAAGAATCAACAGATAAAATTAATTTATTCTGGGTGATTATTCAAACCAAAAATGAGATGAGATGAAATGTGAATCTTTGGATTTTCAACAGGCAGATTAATTATGCAAATTTAACTAAAAGAAAGACGTTTTATCGTTCAATAGTTAAAATTTGGTCTGAAATTTAAGGAAAAATACTTACTGAACTGAATTAATACTAATTTGGTTAAAATCTAAATTCTTGGACACCAGAGTCAACCTTCAGAGTATAAATCAGCTGTTCCTACCAGGAGTCGTCTTCGAAGGCCGCCTGAAGATACCAGATATTGTACTCTTTCTGCTGAGATGATCTTTGATGTAAAGATGGAAATCCCTTCACATCCCTGACATCAAGTCGAGGATTTGGTCACTTGCTCTAATGGTCAACCGGGGCGTCTCCTGGAGTTCTGGACAGCTGTTGTTAACTCTGTTGATAACAACTGCAGGTGTCTGGAGCGCTGAAGAGGGTTCTATCAAACTTTGCTAAACTTCAATCTTCTTCGTGGAAGTTTTGGTAGGTTGTGTCTTAAAAGCTTACTCCTTCCCCTCTTCTGGAGGTCTTCATCACTTCTCCTGTCTTCTCTCTCATTCAAATTCTTTTTTCCTCAACTTCCAAAATTCATCTGAGAGGTCTGAGAGGGATTGAAATGTCTCAGTTGTTCAAGGGAGAGGAGTTTCATTTTTTTTTCTTTTTCAGAGACAGCTTTACAGAATGAACTACTCAGTTACCCGAAATAAAAGTGTGTTATAAAATTACATTGAGGGACATAGGTATATCTCTACAGCTGGATATCTATGGGCTCACCATCTGTGGGAGGGGCCAAAGGGATCGGGTGCAATATGGGATGGGTGGTGGCCGAGGGCGAGGACCTTGGCGGTCTGATCCTTGGCTACAGAAGCTGGCTATTGGGATGTGGAAAGTCACCTCTCTGGTGGGGAAGGAGCCTGAGCTGGTGTGTGAGGTTGAGAAGTTCTGGCTAGAAATAGTTGGACTCACTTCAATGCATGGCTCTGGCTCTGGAACCAGTTTCCTTGAGAGGGGTTGGACACTCTTCCACTCTGGAGTTGCCCCTGATGAGAGGTGCCGAGCAGGAGTGGGCATATTTGTTGCCCCCCATCTTAGTGCCTGTATGTTAGGGTTCACCCCAGTGAATGAGAGGGTAGCCTCCCTCCGCCTACATGGGGGGGGGGGGGGGGGACGGGTTCTGACTGTTGTTTGTCCTTATGCACCAAATGGCAGTTCAGATTACCCACCCTTTTTTGAGTCCTTGGAGGGGGTACTGGAGAGTGCACCTCCTGGGGACTCCCTTGTTCTGCTGGAGGACTTCAATGCTCACACGGGCAATGACAGTGAGACCTGGAGGGGTGTGGTTGGGAAGAACGGCCCCTTGATCTGAACCCGAGTGGTGTTCTGTTGTTGGACTTCTGTGTTCGTCATGGATTGTCCATAACAAACACCATGTTCAAGTATAAGGATGTCCATATGTGCTCTTGGCACCAGGACACCCTAGGCCGCAGTTTGATGATCAACTTTGTTGTTGTCTCATTTATCTGCGGCTGCATGTCTTGGATGTTTGGGAAAGAAAGGGGTGGAGCTGTCCACTGATCACTACCTGGTGGTAATTTGGCTCCGAGAGGATGTCGGTCAGACCTGGCAGGCCCAAACGTATTATGAGGATTTGCTGGGAACGTCTGGCAGAGTCTCCTGTGAGACGGAGCTTTAACTCCCACCTTCGGGAGAACTTCGAACAAACATGTTCCGGGGGAGGTAGGGGACATTGAGTCAGAGTGGGCCATGTTCCATGCCTCTTTTGTCGAGGCAGCTTATTGGAGCTGCGGCCACAAGGTTGTCGGTGCCTAGGAGTAAAGGAGGCCATCTTTGTGAAAAGAAATTGTCCATCGTTAAACAGGGGTGGAGGCCTACGTGTTCAATTGTCCCCCTCTTACAATGCTGTGATTGCTAGTATCACTCAGCCCTTTGTGAATAGTAAACAGCCATCAGTGTGCTAATGATCCATTGTTAGGCTGATGGTCCTTCTTGAGCATGTGATAAGCTGGTTTTGGTTGTCAGCAGCAAAACTGGTTGATCCACTCTGAGAAGGTGCTATTTAAGAGACTGAGCTGAATACAGCACCTCAGACTGAGGAAGTCTCTCGGATGAGAGACAAAACGTTTCTACATTTTTTGTTGTTTTGCTTTGTTTTGGTTTTTTTCAATGTCCAGAGAACCAGATTTAACTTTTTTAGATAGTCCTGACAAACTGCTCCTTCAGGGCCAAATCTGCTTGGAGGTCAACTAACTGCATCTGTAGATGCCCAGCATTTACCCTTTTAAAGTTCTGTGTGACTTCCTTTGAGAAGCTCCTGACATCTGTGATAACAAATGGGTTCTGAATGAACATGGTGAGCTGCTGTCCAACATTGAAAAAGTTTACAATGAGCTTCTCAATAAACTCAACAAAAGAAGACACATCTTGCTGTCTCTGAACCTGCTCCTGCACTGCAGGGAAGTGGACACAGTCTTCCTGCAGATCTTCCTTGAACATCTCACATTTCCTCTGAAAGGCACGGACAGCTGTCAGTAGTTCACAAATTGAATTGTCCTTGCCCTGTAGCCTCAAGTTCTGTTCATTTAGATGTGAAGTAATGTCAACCAAAATGGCCAAGTTGTCCTGCTGTTTCTCGTTTTCTAGAAATTGAGAAAATTGTGTTGCCTTCTGACTTTTTAGCTCTGCCACAAAAGATGCTATTTCCCTCTTAATAGACCAGAAGCATGCTAAAACTCTGCCTCTGCTGAGCCATCTCACGTTGTTGTGCAGTAAAAGATCATCAGCACTGGCATCAACTCCTCTGAGGAATTCTCTCAGCATGCAATGCTGGTAGGAAGAGAATGCCCTAAGAAAATTGATCATTTTCAGCATCGTATTCATCACCTCACATCATGCTCATCTGACAGAGAGACACAGAGGACCGACTGATGAATAATGCAGTGGTAAGTTAGAAGATCAGGACTGTCCTTCTTCAATCTTGTTACAGCTCCCTTTTCTTTCCCTATTATAGCAGGAGCTCCATCTGTGGTGATTGAGATCACTGTTTGGGCTCTATTCCTCTTTTCTAACATTCCCTTAATGGCCAGGTAGATGTCTTCTCCTGTTGTTCTGGTCTGAAGAGGAGTGATGCCCAGCAGGTCTTCACAGAATGCTTTCTGGTCTGTATTATAAAACAACATAAACTAACAGATGAGCATTGTCACACACGTCAGTGGACTCATCCACAGCTAAGCTTACACAAGTGGCATTTTTCATGGCTTCATCAAGCTGGGCTGCATGTCCTGAGTCAAAATTTCACTTTTTTTTGTAGCATATGATGCTGACAAGGGGATTTGTTTTGTTTTCTCTCAAAGTTCCTGTTTTTCTTTTCTTTTCAAGAAGTGTTTGAGCAACTGCATTCATGCAATCTTTGATAACCTCTCCATCAGTAAATGGCTTTTTGTGGAGACCGCGTATTTCTCTGACCTTAGTTCTGATTTGAGTGGGTATGTTTGTTCAAAACTTTTAGGCTTTGTCTCATAATGGTGCTTCACATTTCCATATGTAATAAGTGCCACAGTTTCTGAACGTATCAGACACACCGGTTTAGTGCTGCCAGTGGGAAGTTTAAAGCAAAACGACTCTGTCCATTCCGGATTAAATACTCTATTTTCACTGTCCACTTTTTGTTTTTTAGATGCCACCATTTCTTGTTTTTCTACTTGTGTCCATTTAACTCGCCCGTTTCTTCACCTTCTCAGTCTCAGTGATTGGTTTTCTCCATCCTTTCCTCTGTCTCGCCCACCTGTATCTCTTGTCATATGTTTCTTTCTACTTTTGTCTTTTCCTGGGTAACCTCTCTCAAACTCTCAAACATCCTCACTTTGTTACAAAGTTTACTGGCCGCCGGTTGGAACAGGTCTTGTGCAACCCTGTGACAACCTGTTCCCCCTGTGTCGACAGCGCGCACTGCTGCCAGACAGGCGAATCTGACAGTTGAGTGAAGCTGACACCGGATCAGTCCGTCTTCACGGCGCTTCTGATAAATTTCTCGGTAAAACAACGCCACATAATCGTAACAAGGATGTTAGTCTCTTTGATACACAGTTTTAGTGTTTATCTTGTTAAATTTTGTACAGCGACTCGTTTATTTCCGCATATGGGGTTTTGAAATACAGCTGAATTGACCAACAAAGTGCATTTATTAAGCAAACGTTAGATTGATCCACACCTTTACTATAATTTCCAGCAAACAAATTATTGTTTTAATTTTTGGTACAACACCGGCCCAAATTTCCAGGTTGTCAGTGGTGATGCAGAATAGATGTGACATATACGGCAAAGCGACTTTATTATGGATTTGTCCATTTTATTAGACAAATATGGACTGATGCAACTTATGGGGCGGTGCGACGTGTCCGCTGGAAAATATGGTAGTCCAACTTTCATGACTCCCTTAGCAACTTTACAAGGACAAAGATCTACAGTGGTCACGCATGGCCACGATGAAAGCCACACGGCTCCTCCTGAATCAGATTATATAAAACACTAACAAACCAACATGGACTTTAACTGGATAACCATATCCTTTTAAGTAAATAACCATCTAATGAGGGCAGCAGTGCAAAAGTTTATAAAATATCATTTGAATTAGGCATTTGAAAATCTTTGAGCTGATTATAAAACAGAAAAATCTGATGTGAGCTTGACTCCCCAGCATAATTGCTTTCTGATTTATGAACTGAGAATAATGAGGCTTCTATATGCTGAAGGTAAGATACTGACTGCTGATAACAACTTCACATAAACTCACATCAAAAAAGTATGAACTAGTTCTTTGTTTAGTATTACTGAAGTCTGACAGCTACCTTTGACCAAACAGGTCATAGAGTCTCCCGTAGATGAACTTGCCCTTGGGGTACTTTGGGGACATCAGGATTTCCTGAAACAAAAACCAGTCAAATACTAAACAGTGACAGATAGAATCAGTTAGCACTAAAGAAGTGGGACTATTTTATTTGGAAAACCTTGAACTTTGCTTCTAACCATTATGTGAATATAGTGACATCATCACACTCTAAGTTGAACATTTCATTATAAAATGTTTCAAATTAATATAAATGTGAATTGCAATTGTGTAAAAACTATTAAAGATGTTAAAATGGATGCAAGTTCAGTCAGTGACCCCTTTCAAAGATGGTTTTCCTTGAAGTTTGTCTGAGGGTTGGGATTTCTCATTTGTTCGCCCATAATCCTTTTGTTATGAATGGGATATTTCCCCCTTTTTATGTGAAGTTTTTACTACAGTGTATGATATACTGCTGTCAGAGATCATAGCACACTATTGTCCCTATCGGTACGGCTCGGCTCGGTATGATACATGCTGTGTTTTCATTATGCTTTCAGTACCGGTTCCAGTGGGCGGTGTTCAAATTGATGTCACGCGCCTTGCCAGCTGGTGGCAGTAATTCTGGTGCTAAGACCCTGAAACAGGCTTCAGTACAGGGTGAGAATTTATTTTGAATTTTCTGGTAAATTAAAAAGAATACAGATTATTAAAATTATCACAAAAATAAATATATATATATATATATATATACATATAAGTCCTGCTAATGAACTTTTAATGAACCATTAAATGTCTGATGAAGCAGATTCTACAAAAACATCTATATTTAAATTTTTTATACATTTTCTTCATCGTTTGATGTATTTGCACTCATTGTGTCTACTTTTATTGTTCAATTAGATGTGCGGTTTTGTTTCTTTTTCAGATTATTATTTTTTTTTTTAGCTTTGATTTAAAGTTTACTTCTTGTTTTGTGATTTGTACATCTGTGGGTTAGAATAAAGTTGAACTAAAGGCCGTAGATTTTTTTTTAAAAATGTTCGAGGGAAATATTCCTGAGAACTCCAATAGTTTTATGTCTTTTTATGATTTTTCAGCTGAGTTAACTTTAACAGATTATTTAATAGTCATTAAAGTAACAACAGGATTTCATGATAAAGCCGGCACCGTTTATCTATTTTTTTTTATCTTCACTGATAACAAAAAATACATAAAAAGTTTTTAAAAATCGTTTCCACCCTCCGTGTGCCGGACCCGTCTGCCAGGATCTGGGTTCGGCCTTCATGAGCACGCAAGGCCGGGGTCCGGGCAACGGTCTTCTACGAGTCAGCAGATCGTATGATCCTCCGCAGTGACCAGCAGAGCTTGGAGCCCGCAGAGCACACAAGGAGCCCCGAGTCGGCATTAGACCACGGTGTTGTCATTATTGTTTTTAAAATCTTTAAAATAGATCCAGCCGCTGCTCCGAGTTACGAGAAATTGCAAATGGTGGATCGGTGTTTTGAAAAGTTTCTGAAAGATCCAGTGACTCCGCCCACTGACCAATCAGTAATCGACAGTGTTCTGACGTCACGTTTTGGTACCTGCCCGGCCGGGTTGGAACCACAGAGCCAAGGGTTCTGAAAAAAGGGCCCAGTTCTACGTACCATTACTAATAAAAAAAGCCTTGGAACCGTGCTGAGTCGAGTGGTGCTGTATCGGTACTAAAGGAAAAGGGGTTTATTAAATAGAGCTGATCTTTCATGTATTTTGTGCATTTGTTTTCCTAAAGCTACAGAAGAAACAAACCAAACTGTGACAGATACAGAAAAATTTAACTTAGGAACCACGTTGCACATTTGTAAGCACAATTTACTAAACAGAAAGAACAAATACATCTGATTTTTTTTTTTCCTATATTTGGCACTTTCTGGGCTCTATATCTGTGCTCTACAGGCACAACAATAGAGCTCTTCTTCAGAAATGATTAGGGTTGTTGTTGTTTACCTTAGTTGCCTCTGGACAGGTCACTAACACCAAAACATAGTGCAGAATATTTAACCTGTAAGCAGAGCCGTAAGTCTCCGACCTGTAAATGACACATTATACATAGTTTTATTAAAAAAATAACATCTGTTACACACGCAAATCCGAAAAGTTTGACTAGCAAATGTTACTAGCAGTGTTGTAATGTAACGAAGTAGAAATACTTAGTTATTGCACTTAAGCAGAATTTTGACACATCTTTACTTTACTTCGTTATTTAAATTTCTAGCGACTTTCACTTTTACTTAAGTAGATTTCCTCAATAAAATGTGTACTTTTACTTCGATAAATTTCCCTTAACCATCTTCGTTATTCGTTCCTACAACATAAAATTAGAAGAAATCTGATTGGGCAATGCCTGTTTGTTGTCGAGGGCAGTCAACGGAAGATCTGTCCATTCAGCATACATGTTATGGTAGCATACAGTTAGTTAATACGCATGCGTGCACATTCCACAATAAGCCCGTGACGTTCAGAGGAGTCGTCTGATCATCATACACTGCTAAATACGACCAAAAAGTAAGTCAGTACATTGTTTTGGTGCACAGTACACACGATATTATTGTGTATTTACACAATTTAGAGTGTGCATACATTTTCTGAACTGTAAGTAAATCGTTTTGGGGACGCTTTGCGTGTAATATGTGCACGACTTCAGGCGGAGCTAAAACTGCGTTTATGTGCGAACAGTGCAAGTGAAGTTAGTCCGAGCTTTGTGAATTTAAACAACATAAGGGCAATATAATCATTCTGCTGCATGCTGCAGATGAGGGAGGGATGGGGGACGAGCTGAAGAAGTGGCTGCAGATTACTTCTATTATATTTAGCTTTGTCTACTAGCATATTACGGTGAAGCGATGAACAACCTGAAAACAAGCTGAAAAGCTCTGAGGGTTAGTATCTACACAGTAATAAGGTCAGTCGTGTTTTCTTAAAAGAGGTGTGGCACAATCGTATTTATCTTAAAGCAGATAAAGAGCACAGCCAAAGCTTTAAAGTCCTCCATCACTGAGCCTGGGTGTTCGTTTCAACGTGTAATACAAGCAGGTTGTTTATGCATTGCAGGGCAATGTATGCTAACTGGACAGAACACGCCTTCTTGCAGCCATGCTGATACTGTGAAATGTAAATACCAATTACTGTTTTATTTTTATTAATTACTTTAATTGCATTTAATGATAGTGTGCACCTACTGTTTTTGGTTTGGAGCAAGCCTGGATGCTCCAAGAGCTCCTAGAGATCAAATGTCCACTAAAGAGCTCCATGTCATTTTCAGAGTTTCTGTGTGGGCCAAATTGTGACATCAGATGCTTTGAAGATGGGAAGTATCTCATTCTTCCCAATGGACAAAGTGGATTCTACCTCCAGGTGAGTAAATGTTGTAATTTACAATCTATGAACTGATGTGACAGGTATTTGTAAACCTTCATTAAAACATATTTTACATTTATTCTTCCAGGTTCAGCTGACAATGACGCGCTTGTTGCTGCAGAGCTGCACGCTGGTTATCTGGACACCAACAGAACACCTGGAGTTGGACATTTCATTTGACTTTACAGATACGCACATAAAACTCCTCCAGAATTTTTACTTTCCAAAACATACTTCCAACATTGACAGAAGAATTTGTTGCAAAGAGAAGATTCAGCTCTGCCACAAATACCTTAATTCAAATGCAGTAAGCACATAAATATTCATGCACAACACATCGAGAGCACTGTATGAAGCTAGGGAGAAAATATCAGTCCTAATCCTATGTATTTCATGTTGAACTTTTAGTATTTTAGTATTTAGTCATTTTTATTTCCTTTACCTCCTTTCAATGTGGTTGCATTGTTAATTTGCACAGATTTATAGTGCCCTGTTTTTATGCTTTATCTTGTAATGCACTTTGGGCTATGAAAAGGTGTTGTTGGAAGGTGCTATGTAAATAAAGTTTATTATGATATTGTTATTCCTGTTAACAATGCTGTATCCTGCCTTCTTCCAAACACGTTTTTTTTAATAAAACGTGTGTGCTGATGAAATGAAACGAAAATAAAGGTGTTAACAACAAAGTGTATGATGATCTAACAGGTTAACTTCTTCTCAAGATGAACGTGTCAGTTATTTACTCACCTTCATGCCAGTTAAAAGACAAGTTCACTTTGTTCATATACCCCTCTAACATGTATCAGTTCAAACTTTCTAAGTTATTAGATATTGCATCCAATACATGCTGTTTTGGAAATTCTAACCATTTACTTTTACTTAATACTAGTACAGTATGAGAAATTTACTTTAGTGATAACTTTTAAGGCGACTTTAACTTTTACCAAAGTAATTTTTGTATCACTTTTTGAGGTACTTTCTACATTACTAGAATGTATTTTTTACGTTTTCTCACGAGAAAGCAGACGCACACGACGCTGAAAAATAGCTAAGTCTTTATTAACAAGTTGTATACTCACCATTCCAATAACTTGTCGTGCACGATTCCGTCACTTTCAGTAATCCTCTTTAACGTCGCAGAGTGACCCATGAAAAAACTTTTAAAAAAAAGAAGAAAATGCGTCACAATTACACCGCCCCAAACAAACTTATTAAAACTTTCCTTATTTTACCTGTCTCTCGCTGGTCCAGGTATGTGGTCATATTTCAGGTGAATGTATTTAATATACAGGCAATAAACGAGGAGCGCGACAACAAGAAGAAAAAGTGCGATTAAAAGCGCCTTTGAACACAAACTCCAAAGAAGATGAAACACTTCCATTTTAGTGTGTTGCTGTGCAGCAGCAGCGGGTTATAGCAAGCTGTTGTATCGTACTCTAATCAAACCCCCCTCATATTCGCTAATAAATATGTAGGCGTATGCAGAGTCCTGTAGGGCTCTGGGCGTATACACAAACTACGTAAACGCCTCATTGAGCGCTGAATCGTACGTCGACGTCGCCGCCATATTGGATGTGGCAAAAGTGAAGCGATAGAAGATGCCTCATTCTGTCATAAAATATAACATTATGATCCCTATTAACGAATTTATTATTGTAATAAAAGCAATCCCTACTGGAGTAATTATTTTACATAGAAGTACAGCAGGACAGAGTCTAACACTATTACCCTTTGATCCAACCAAACTTGAAATTGGTCAGATCTGCTTCTCCTCAACCCATAGTAGCATCCGTCATATACGCTCACTATTTCAGAAAGATGTTGTGTCAACTAACTCCATATGTGGTACCTTATTGGAACAACTTTATTAATAACCTTAATTGAAAAAGGATTTGGACTTTACCAACCAGATACATGATAAATAATAAAGTAAGAGAAGTATCATTCAAAATCTAAAAAAGTTAAATCTGGTCCTCTGGACATTAAAAAAAAAAAAAAAAAACCAAAACAAAGCAAAATAACAACAACAAAAAAAAACATGTAACATTTACATAACATAACGTGTAGAACATACATAATGTAACGTTTTTGTTGTTTTGCTTTGTTTTGGGTCTTTTTGAATGTCCAGAGGACCAGATTTAACTTTTTTAGATTTTTCTACCTGGATTATTGAGCATGCATCAGGATATCATTCAAAATGATTCAGATTTTACCCATCCAAAATCGATATACAACGGTTTAACGGGGATATAAATATAATTTGTTATTTTTGTGATGAAACCCAGAAAATGTCTTTCACTTATTTTGGTCTTGCCCCTTCTCCACTCAATTTTGGAAAAAAATATTTGTATTTTGATTTCTACTTTTATAGAACCAGATCTCTCACTTTGCTCTGAACATGTTTTGTTTGTCTAAAAAAGTTAAATCTGGTCCTCTGGACATTCAAAAAAAACAAAACAAAGCAAAACAACACCTCTACTGCATCATCAACAGGAATACACGTAAAGAGTGATGTGACATCAAAAGAGACCATTGTTTGTCCCTTACAATGTTTCCAAATATCTGGCGTCTGTACTCATCCCTTTAGTTGGCAGCTCAGACCATGGACTTTGTGGGTAAGGTGAGGGATGTCATCATGGAGACTGATGAAACAATGGAGTCATGGAGGCCTACGTGTTCAACTGTCCCCCTCTTACAATGCTGTGATTGCTAGTATCACTCAGCCCTCTGTGAATAGTAAACAGCCATCAGTGTTCTGATGATCCATTGTTATGCTGATGGTCCTTCTTGAGCATGTGATCAGCTGGTTTTGGTTGTCAGCAGCAAAACTGGTTGATCCACTCTGAGAAGGTGCTATTTAAGAGACTGAGCTGAATACAGCTCCTCAGACTGAGGAAGTCTCTCGGATGAGAGACGAAACGTTTCTACATTTTTTTGTTGTTTTGCTTTGTTTTGTTTTTTTGAATGTCCAGAGGACCAGATTTTACTTTTTTAGATTTTTCTACCTGGATTATTGAGCATGCATCAGGATATGTTTTGTTTGGCTTCACTGACTAAACAAAAGCTAAAGAAAAACAATTCTATATTATTAATATTATTATATACCTAGCCAAATGGCATATTCATAAATATTGGTACACTAATCAAAAACCTCTTATCTCCATTTATGAAAATGAGATCAAACAATACATCAAAACTATTAAATATTTCACCAACACGAAGGCCATTAAAACTTGCACCTTATGTGCTCTCTTCAATATATTTATGCAACATGTTATTGTAAATTATTGTCTCGGTGTTTGTAACCCCCTAGCGGCTGTTATATCATTACTTTGTACTGCATTGTATTGTATTGTTTTGTAATTTTTCAATAAAGATTTTAAAAAAAAGATGTCTCATTCATTCAGAGTGGCAACACAAAAAGCTGCAAAATGCAAAACTATTATTTTACAATGTTTAT